TAGGTGAGGGTGAAATACGTGCAGTATCATTCAGATCTTCATGTCCAACAAAACCAACGAAGAATAAAAGAATGGAGCAGGATACGTGATTTTTGTTTGGCTGCTGGGAAGGGTGTGTGTGTGTGTGTGTGTCTGCACATAGTGTTCTGTCCTAAATTCCTAACTTCTCTCACAGGGCCAGAGGAGGCATTTTACCTGCAGTAGTGGTCCTGCTTATATACGCTGTCTGCTCCAAGGAGACTCTAACGTCCAGCAGAGCTTCTTTTTCATAAGATCATGTGAAACGGAGCACACTCAACAAAACTGTTTCAATAATGTTTCTTACAGCGAGCTAAGAACCAGCTCATCAGCAGTGTAGCTTCTTCCCCTACACTTTAACAGTGTTTCTCCTTTAACTTTGGTATTTTTGTAGGAACCATGGACGAAGTGTTGGCTTCGCTACAGCGTGGACAGATTAAGCTTCGAAAGGTCCCCGCGGCCAGCACGCCGAGCCCCACTGGGGACGCAAGGAGCAGTCTGATGTCTGCCATCCGACAGGGAGTCACCCTGAAGAAGGTGAGATGTTGATACGTTGATCGGCTAGCCTACTGCAGAACGATTGCATCACCGCATGTGTCACTTGGTAAAAATGTGATGACAGTTGGTTATTCACCTGTGGGGAAAAAAAGCCAGTGTGGCTCAGTTTGTGTCAACCCCCCCCCCCAAAAAAAACTTCCAAATATCAAATATCAGTCTTTACTAAAGAATTAATCTGCATGTGAAAATGCTACCTAACAAATGCACAATTTATTTGTGTTTGTGTAATATGCAATCATCGGTGTTTAGGTAAATGTGACACGAGTTTCATTTTCACTAAGGACCACCGGTATTTTTGCTATGAGCCGTTTGCTGTGGACGTGGATCACATAAATTAAACCTCGTTTGTTCTCAGTGTACAATATTTCTTTTTACTGACCGACTATTAATGGTGAAGAACACATTCGTGAGGTAGTTAAGCTATAGGAGCTGTCACAAAAAGCCGTTCACGTCCTAATTTTTGATAGGAGACATGCTGTATGGGAACTTTGAGTGCACTCTTGTGCACAACAAACAGCTCCCCCGTGTGGATTCTTTTTTAGCGCAGCAAAGGAGTGAATTATTGAACAGTGCTAGTAAATTTAAAATTGGGTATTTTGCTTCTAATTTTAAACGAATGGTCAATGAAGCTGTTCACAGGTTGTGTGTGTAAATTCCTTTTTTATTTTATGAGAATGCAGACGTCTCCTTTATAAGCCCAGAAAGCTGATTTTGTGGATGTGGATGATGTTACCCAAGTGACCTCTTCAGCGCTTCACCCACTGCAAACCCTACAATGCAGATCAACAGAATCAACTTTCACAAGTATACATGCAACATACTTTAGGCTCTTCCCTTATTTCCCGAGGAGCCACCACAGCGGATGGAGCCACATATTTGATTTGGCACAGATTTTACACCACACGCCCTTCCTGATGCAATCCTTCCATTTATCCAGGCTTGGGTCCAGCACAGGGAGTACACTCGCTTGTGACCCCCTGAGGCTGGATCTGTGTCTCCTTCTGGTCTCGACCCAGGGATCTTTCACATATTAGACAAATGTGCTAAACTGCTGCACCGTGGAGCCACAGTTATGCATACGTAAAAACCTATGCTATAACAGACTAGAATACATTTAGCTGTTCTAGTTCCAGGGTCGGGTGTTATCCCAACGGGGTCATTGCTATGTAGCTCTCTACTATAATGTTATTAGCTACTTTTTTGGTACTGATTACAGATTTCACAGCAGGCGCTAACTTAAAATGTGAACTGTATTTCTTTGCCGTTGCGTAGGTGGTTCCTGCACGAGCAGAAGTCCCGAGCGGCGGAGACAACGAGCTGGAGCGCAGCATCAAGGCCGCCATGATGAGGATGAAGAAGGTGGCGGCTGATTCGGATGAGGACGACAGAGGGGACGAAGAGGGACGCAGTGCAGACTGGGATAGCTGAGAATGCGTGCGCACTCACGCCGATGAAGCTGCCGTCTTATGTTAGCTCCTCTCAGTCTTCCTCACAGTTATGAGCTTCAGCTCATTGTTGCCAATTTTCCATCGGAAAACAAGAAGAAAAAAAAAAGCTGCTTGTTTGACAAGAACAGGATTACGCCTCCTCAGACTTAAACGTTGCAGTTTGTTGAAGTTGTTGCACATTTAATCCCTTTTGTGTGTGTGTGTGTATGTGTGTGTGCTTTTGTTTTGTAGCCCTGAAACGCTGTAATACATCCAACACTGCAACTAACTAGCGAGCGGCAGAATCAGGACTTACTCTCCTCTAAAACACTTTCCAATTTTCAGAAATCCCAGTGAGAGCGAATGAGCCGCTTTGTTTTTAACGCTCCTCTAATTATTGAATTTCTCCCAAATCTGTGCCCGAAGGCCTTTTGTGACAGTGTCACACAGCAGGGGGGGAGTGGGGTGGGAGCTTGTGCTGCGGGCGGTGAAGACAACACTACGCAAATTGTCGTTTCGCTCGCACCGCTCGGTCTGATCTCATCATTTTGAATGTAATTAAATTTGAACAATTGTTTATTTAACCTAACCCCAGTAAGGCTACAGCCACGTGAAGGCAGCGCTGTTAATCATTCAAAGCCTGCGTGTCTGAAGTCTTTGTCGCTGTTTGCGTTGCAGGCCGTTTCACGCTGCCCGCAATTTTCCCCTTCTCATGTCAGAATTTTGGGAACGCTTTAGGATTAATCAAAGGGCACTTTCGAAGTGAAATACACAAAGACAAATTGAGAATATTAGGCTTTAATTTAAGTAATGGATTAAAAAAAAAAAACATCGCAAATCGCTGTGTGATCTAAAGAAAAGGAAAACGGGGGAAAGGTTCCTGTTGTTTAAGGCAAATTGACCTTTCAACCTGTGACAGCACATTGCTTTGTTTTGGGGAGTTTTCCCTCCTCAATCTTTACAAGTGTTCCTTACCTGAACCTGTCAAACAGTTAAACTGTGTGATAGCAGCATTAAATGCTTTACAGGATGAATTCAATTTTAGTTTTATGAGTTAATGATGTTCGAGGCCGACACCTGCATTGCTGTGTTTTAATAATAAACTAAGAGGCATCAGGTCGTCATCAAACGTTGGCGTTCCTTTTTCCCTCCACTTTCATTCAAATACATTCATCTGAGCTCTTTGCCACTTGCTTTGCTCACGCTGGTCCCCGATCTCCAAAGTCTTACCTGTGCCCAGGCCCTCATTCTTTAAACAAAGTCACATCAGACCTGCACCGGTGAACCCCTGGCGAGTGGGCTTTGGTGGATGAAGCCCACAGTGATGAGTCACAAAGTAATGTCCATCCTGGCAGCGCTCGCTCTCACACATCGGTCTCCTGCAGTGACAGCTCAGACATCCCCAGCCAGCTGCGATTGAGTTTATTCAGCTCTGCGTACTTAAGAGAAGCCACCGTTTTTGCGGGGCTGCTGTCAGTCTGTGTGCAATCTGTTTGCAACATCCACGCGATTCAGGTGGAGACGGGTCACGCACCTCGGGGTGGGAGGGAAGGCGCACACGGGGGTATTTAGACGAACACCTCCATCCAGTATAAACAGAAATTTCAGCAGCCTGTTACTATGGCAACAAGAAGTGTCAGCGGTAGTGGCCTGCAGTGCCATATCGCTCTCTTGCTCGCTCTCTCGCTCACATGTACAGAGCAGCATAGTCTCTTGATGTTTCACCAACTCGCCCACTCGTCACCAGTCACACAATGAGAGCTGAGAGTCAGACAGCGATGACAGCAGAGAGAACGAGAGGCCGTTTTTGCTCTACCAGAATCGATTGGGAGCGAGGCTGAAAGTTGAGGAGCAGAAGTACAATTTTTTTTTTCAAATTGGTATTTAAGCCCTAATTGTGTGTAATGAGATCCAGAGTTGAAACTTTAAAGCAGTGCTGACATTTAGCAGATCATTATCAGTATGCGTGTCAGATATATGGTCAAAATGGCGACCTGCTGGTGGCGCCAAACAAAAAGACTTAAGGGTGACTTAGGTGAGAAGGGTTCATCCTAAGGTGGGCATGACTATCTACCCAGATTTCCTGCTTTCATGGCGGTCCATTGTGTAGTTTGTTACTCTGGCTGACAGTGTTCAGGTGTTCAGTAAGGCTGCAAACAGTCTGGGAACCTATCTGCTGACCTCAAGGACATTCATGTGTATTCATGTGACATTAATTAAAAAATAAATTGTTCATAAAATTAGTAAAATAGTAAAAAATGTTCACCACACCATTTTTTTGTTTAACTTAATATACATTTGCTGACCACTTTGTTGGGTACACCTGTTCAACTGCTCATTATTACAAATACTGTATCTAATTGGCCAGTCGCATGGTAGCAGCTCAAAGCCTTTAGACATCCAGACATGACCAGGTCGACCTGGTGAAGTTCACCCTGAGCCTCAGAATGAAGAAGAAAGTGACTTTGAAAGTAGCACTCTTGTACGGCCATCTCTCGGGTTTACAGAGGATGGTGTGAAAAAAAGACAAAGTGCTGAAATCATGAGCGACAGTTCTCTTGGCAAAAATGCCTCAGCAGCTGAAGACCACACCAGGCGCAACAACTACCAGCTGAGAACAGAAACGGAGGCTACAGTTCACACAGGGTCACTAAAACTTGACGACAGGAAATTAGAAAAATGTTGCTTGTTCCGATGAGTCTCGATTTCTGCAGCAAAATTCTCATGGAGTCCGAATTTAACAAACGTGGAAAAAGAGATTCACCTTGCCTCCTATCAGTGGGTCAAGGTAGTGGTGTAAATCCCTCAGTACCAGATGAATATTGTGTACCCATCTTCTGATGGCTACTTCTAGCAAGATAATGTGCCATATCAATAAGCGCAAATCATCTCAAACTGTTTTTTTGAACAAAATGAGTTTACTGTGCCCGAATGGCCTCCACAGTCACCAGATTTTGCTCCAGCAGAGCACCGTTGGGATGTTGTGGAACATCATGGATGTGCAGCCGGCAAATCTGTGTGACGGTGTCAACTCAATATGCAGCAAAATATCTGAGGAATGTTTCCAGTACCTTGTTGAATCGGTTCCATGAAGAATGAAGTCAGTTTTGAAGGTCCAACCTGGTAACGTGTCTGTTACGGTGTTTCCACAGCTGTCTGAACTTTACTAAACTCTGAACCAAAAACAATTCTAAAAATGAGGAGTCTCCATATCGGAGTCTCTCATTTAAATAATGTCATTGTTGGTTGTTATTCAGTTGTAGCAGTTTTCTCTTTTTTGAATCACTCAAATGTCTTTGGATTCTGCACTGTTGGCTGCACAAAAGACGTCTTTTCAAAACGTCTCAGATTTGACTTTTTTTTCCCTTTTACATTTCATATAATAAACAAAGTGATTCATCAAAAAAGTCCGAGTAATTTGCAGTGAAAATCATAGCTGCATTCCTACAGCAGTTAATTTCCAATTGACTGAATTAATTGGTCAATTATCCCATCATTTTAACACTAAATTGGTGCTTAAACTGCATATTGATTAATTTCCTCCTTGTAAACCAGCTGATCTCTGAAGGTGAAAACAAATTAGACTCTAAATGGGAGTCCAGTTTCCAAGGGTCTGATTGTTTTTTTTCTTGTTTTTTGTTTTTTTTAAATCAACCAAGTAAAACTAGTACATCCCTCAGTCCATCATTCACACAGTTATTTACACAAGAAAAATAAAAGTCAGTAGGATTAAGTTACCAAGGCAACCTGTCCTCTGATCCACTACTGCAGTTATTTTCTCTGAGCTCGGAGGACGTTTAAGGTGTTTTCCATCAGTCCTCAAACCAGCTTTTATCTTTATGTGCTTTATTTGTTCTAATCTCAGAAATTGATACATCATTGACTGATTGAATCCCACCTCATCTGCTTTGCTTATGCGTGGATTACAGCTATATTTAGTGGTATGTAAATCGTGCGGTGGCGGAGCTTCTGTGCTCGACGGGACTCAGCTCTGGCACTGTAGGTTCATTCCACCTCCTCTGTGCTTCTCGTCCAGGAAAAATGCCTCAAGACTTATAAAATGTCAGGCAGCGTGTTTGTAAGCTTTTTTTTTTTTTTTTAAGTTTCTTACACAGAACCCACAGCACTAATATGCAGCTAAGTAGGTATTAGGGAAACCTCCCATCTTCTCTCTGTGGAGCCCTTTCCAAAATGTATCCCCCTACAGAAAAGACACTAACTCAGCAGTGTAATTAAACTAAATTTTACCAATTGTCAGTTCTATTGTACAATATTGAACAGGAATCACAAAAGTGCACAAGAGGCATCGGTTCAAAAGGAAGGATCATACATCGTGTTATCCAGATTCAGGTGAGTTACAAACAGGAGGGCAAAACAGAAAAAGAAAAAAAAAAATCCCTTCATTCGATATCTCAACTTTAAGACAAGATTGAAACTGATGAAAAATAAAGACTTAGTATTATAGAGTAAATATGTCACTTCAACATGTGCCTTTGATTTCAAATGGAGCAAGTTTCAAGATGGACTTCCTAGAAGCAGCTGTGGCACCATCCTGAAAACCTCCTGACTTCTTTAATATGTTATCGTACACCCGTGGAGACATTAGGTTAAGGTTGATTTACTTCTTACGTTCTAAAAATGGTCGTTGTAGAGAGGCACCAAAAATAAATAAATGCATAAAACATCCCTCTCCCCTTGCAAAAAACAAAACAAAATTTTGACAAGTTTTTAGTGAAAAGCCCCATGCCATCTAAAGTGAAGTACACTTTCACATCATCCACCCATCGAGCAGCACCAAGTCCCCTCACCCAAAAATAACCACCACCATAACAAAAACCGAGTGTGTAGGAAGCACATCGAGAGCCTTGGAGACATCTTTGTTCTGCAAATGAGCAATACTACTGCGCGCACACACAAAGTCCTTTAAACACTACACTCATGGCTATACGGGGTTCCCAATATTATTCTGGATGTTCTGGAAGGAAAGCTCCCGGGAAAAGTTTTTTCCTTCTTTAATCTAATCAAAAAAGTGTTTACATAAAAGAGAGTTGATAAAGTCAGCTGAGGGCTCTTAATTTTTATTTATTTATTTATTTTTAAACATGGCTTTCATCATTTACGTTTCTCATCTCATTAACATCCTCGGGGTGTGCATGCTTGTCTCCTTTTTCATCTCAGTTTATTAGCAAGAATTTTAATGTATCTTCAGGTTTCCTCAACAAAAAAAAAGAAAAAGAAAAGTTGTTATTATGGTGATGGTCATCGATTGGCCAGTTCTCCTCACCAGGTAGGTTTAAGCTCACCTGGAGGCACTTTGTGTCACGGCCATTTGTCACATATGTGCATATAATCTAATAAGTACAAACTGTCTTCCAACACACCTGAGATAGAAGAGAGGCAACAGCGAGGACAGCCTGTACAAAGATTTCATCTTTAATTCTCGAGCGGGACACAAAGATTAACACCAATTATTACTTGAGTGATGCTGAGCAGCATTGTCTCTGTTGTTCATTTTAGCCCTTTAAGTCCCCTCCTCTACTCTAAGCTCAGACTTCCTTGTGCAGAAGTGCTGCCTTCAGGAAAAAAAACAAAACAGAAGAAAGACAGATGGACAGAATCTAAGAACCCACCACCGGCTTTTTAAACCTGTTTTTCCCCCACAGAAACGGTTAAGTAAGCTCAAAGTGTGACTCTTGATTTAGTTTTGCAATGCCAGCACACGAAATTGAGCCATTTGGTGGAGTGCACTGGCCTTCCTCCCTCCTTTTAGTCTGCCAGTCTCTCTCTCCCTCTCTCAAAAACATCTTTCTCACAAGGTAGTGTTTATTAGAAGCCAAAGCTGAATTGTGTCTGTGTGGACGTCACCTTGGGGGAATAGGTGCCACACAGTTTCTGCCCTGTAGTGAATCCTTCGTACCTGACCTCCGACCCTTTTAGCTCAGTGCTACTTTTCCTCAGTTATCAGCACCCAGCTTAGACAGCCCCTGCCTGAACTCTTGCAGCTCATCTAGCTTTCCATCTAGAACATCCATCAACTTCTTCAGCTCGATCTTCATGTTTCCTTGCTTTTGTCGGCTGTCGTCTATGTCCAGCTGAAGACCCTCTATTCTCCCCTCCAGCTCCTTGTTTCTTGTCTCTGCAGCCTGTGGAAAGATGTCGGGAAAACATTAACGTTAACATTTGATGTATCAGCACAGCTGGTTTGTTGTGTGTGTTTGAGCTGAAATGAGCAAGAGCTTTTTCACTTGCAGTAACAAACAAAAGCCTTCCCATGTTGCATGTGCAGCTACACAAAGAGAGAGATCCACTTGCTGTAGGTTGGGACAAAGCGATGGGAAAACATTTATGTGAAAGAAACGTGTTTGCATATGTGAATGGGACATGAAAGTGAATCTTTCAGACTAACAGGCAACACGAGTGACATGTTAATAATGCTGAAGATAGCAATGAAGGGAGGGATTTAAAATAGGAGTGCTAAAAGGGTGTTGCGCCTGCATGACTATGTTCCAGCTGACTCCTGAAACCTGATCTCCATGAGGGCTGTCATCTTTAAATAGAGGGCAGCCGTAACCACAAACACAGGGGTAGAATAGGTAGACTTTTTTTTTTTTAAAAAGCATCAACTCTGCACCAGCAAAGATAATTTTTTACAGCATTTCTGTCTAAATTGAGTCAGATTCAGCTTTAGGCTCCATAGTTGGACAAAAGGTATTGGAGAAACCCCATCGTCTATGCCTCTTCTCAGTTTGGATAACTGGTTAGATAAACTCCGGCTTGAGCCATTTTTGCTGTCTTTCACCCAGCTGGCTGCTGCAGAGACAAACCATGCCGTCGAGCGTTGTAAAGCACAAGAACTTCAGGCATGCCACTGTTGGTTTTATTCATCACTCCATGCCCAGATTGAAATGGCAGCACATGTACTGACAGCTTGGACGATAAAAATCCCGATCTGAGTCAGTCAGCACAGGGCGACATGAGCGTCAGTATCAATGCAGCTCATGTCAGACTTGGCACTAACAGGACACACGGTGATCCAAAGAGCCTGGCTCTTCTAGTTCTACAGAAAGTCTGATATTATTCAGCGAGGAGTCAGCTTTGAAGAACAGGTGCCCTTTGTTACAAAGAAGACGTGAGGCTTCTCACAGGCACAACCCACACACCTACAGAAATGTTATAAGAGCTGATCATTAAAGCTTTGAGCAGAGCTCTCAAACTACTTCAGCTGTTTTTATAGCAAAAACAGATCAAATCTGCACCAGCAGGAAACTAATAAGCTGTGACAGAGACATATCTCTGTTCCACTGAAGAGGGAGAAAAAAAAAAAAAAAAAGAACCCTTTTCAAAGAGGCAATAATCCTCTCTGCGTTGTACTGGGGACGGACCTTTATTATTAGATACAGTAACGACGACAATGTGCGTTAGTGAGACACGTGATAGGAATGTTGTGTCACCAGCCCTCAGGCAGAATGATGAATAGCAACTCTTATTGTCTACCTTCATCTGAAAGCGCTGCTTACGCCTCAGAGCCCGAGTGTTAGCTCGCTGTGATAGCCATTGTGTCCTCACGTGTGTGTTAGGTCTAGACAACTCTCAGCCTGGTCTCTGTACTCTGCAGTAAATCACACCTGAGGGGGGGTAAAAACTAGGGCTTGTGCCGGGTGCTTTTGAACGTACCTGCAGTTTCGAAGTGATGCTCTCACACTCCGACATGAGCTGAGGGATTATTTCTGCCTGCTTCCTCAAGTTCTCCAGCTCCTGGGAATAATGTTAATAATAAAAAAATGTAAAATCCAGCAATTCCGATGTCAGTCAGGGTCTTAGGAACAATCTAAGTTATTTAGCTGAAGGACCTTTGAAATTTTAAATAAATCATTCTTAATTGCTTTTTTGTATAAAAGTATGTAGATAGACTGACAAGAACAGCACCCAGATAAAACGGGACATTTAAGCCAGTAATTAACTGCTTGCCAAGAAAAGAAGAAAAAAAAAGTGTGATGCCCAGCACAAACCCTGGAACATAATTACAGTCATGATTTTATGTCAGTGTTAATTAAGGTGCACCATCCTTTGTAAATAAGCCAACCAGGAAAAATGAAAAAAGGTCAAAGTGGTACAAAGAAGGCAAAAAGGACATCAAGATCAAGAGATAGCCTTGTGATCATGCCTCTGTCTCCTTCTCAGGTAAACATCTCAGTTACTGCTCTGAAAACCTCCTCCCTGCTTTAAGCAAAACACTATGCGGCTTCATGGCATCTGTTACCGCTTCGAGCACATTTTCGCCAAGTAATAATTGCTTGAGTCTTTGTAGTTACCTGCAGCGGCTTTGTTCTGTTAGTTCACCGCTGGCCAGCACAGGGGTCACAGCAGTCAACTCTTAATAATTCATAGGCACACTTTTAAGTTTGAGGCGATGAGGATGTGGATTTCTAGACAGGGAGGGGGTGAGTCACTGTGCAGGTGAGCCTCTGTGGGCCGCCTGCGGCAGCAATGGTGTGCACACAAGGAGACTTTCTCTGCAGACCCCATGGTCGGTGTTCACAGCGTTATGGAGGATACACAAGAAAGGCAAAGCCGAGCTCCCAAAGGATGCCATTCTTTGCTCATCATCTTTCAAATTCAGCTCCAGCTCTTTGAACTACTTCCCTTCCTCTTGTTGTGTAAAATATATACCGCCTTCGAAGGAATGATTTATACGTTCTATTAATACTCTGGCCGCCATGTGGTAAACTAGAATATCCCAGACACTCTTTACCTCAGGCGATCTGAATGGGACACAGTAAAGCTGTTATTGCCACTGAATTGAAAGAGAGGGCATTGCACTATATGAGACAGATGCACAGATGACCCCAAACCAGAAGTATATAAAAATGCATACATATCCTACTTATGGTTTTCACACGTTACTGATTGCGTCTCCCTTTCTTAGCATCGACAGGGAGACGCAGTCGCTGCTGAAAAGGGCAGCAAGACTCTTAGATTGGCAGAAGTCAGTTCTAATTTGTCTGCGGTCAGAAAACGGCATCTAACCAGCAATAAGCAAAGGTTAAAATGCCGCGTGGTCGCACAGAGTTCATCCTCATTAGAAAGAACAGCGCCATTAGGCCGTGCTGAGCTGACAGTCGGCTAGTTTGGATTATGGATGATTAATGTAGGAGACACAAGGTGGTTTCTTTCAGGTTTGACTAGAGTGGATTAATTTTTAATTTTTTTAACAGTACAAAAAACCCCAAAACAGTTTGATCAATCAAATTGAGACAACGGGGCTGTCTGGGATTAAAATTGGAAAAAATTAAAAAAAATTAAAAAAAATAAATCCACACAAAACCCAAAGCAGAATCTAACATTTCCTATTGAGGCCTAATCACTTCCTCGGGGAAATAAAAAGGCACTAGAACTAGTTTGTAAAACCAACTCTCCATTGCAGCTCTGCAGACCGACCATTGTGATGCACGTCTCACCTGCTCCTTTTCCTGTAGCTCAGCCTCCAGCTCCTTTACCCTCACAGTCAGCTGGGCGTTTTTCTGTCTCTCTTGATTGGCTTCATTGCACTGGGCTTCTAGTTCAGCAATCTAAAATACAGAGGGGGGGGAGGGGGGGGGGAGTTAAAAGAAAAATTAGGCATTTTTCTTAAGCTAATCAGATTTTTTTTAACATATTCCTCCTTGTTAAGCGGAAGCCTGGATTTGTTGTAGAGTATAATGGCAATTTCAAAACTGATACCAACAATTAAAAAAAGGAAGGGTTAGAGAATAACACTGGTACCACACCAGCCCAGCTGCAGAAACAGCCCACGTTGATTATGAAACTAAAATGATTCTATTTTTAGCAGACTGAGACTGCAGGCAACACAGAAGCTAATGAAATGTACAGTACCTACAGTGTTTTGCTCTGTACAGATTTTGACCAAACCCGTGGCAGAGAACTCTGTGTGTGCAGTTTGTGATAGAGTTTTCTTCTTTTAAAGCAGCGGAAACGGTTTATCAAACCTGTCACTTTTTCCTCAATCAATGGGCTAGTCTACATTGTTCAACTTCCCCGTAGGAGTGCATGAGTGTATTACCTTGTTCCTGAGCGTGTCACTCTCCTCCTTGCAGGCACTAAGCTGTTTCTTCCAGCTCTCTACATTAGCTGAAGACTCCTGCAGTGCATCCACCAGCCTGGCATTATTTTCTCTTAAAGTCTGAAGCTCTGTTTCCCACTTCTTGGCGTTGGTGTTGCTGTCAGACAGGAGCGACAGAAAGAGATCCAGCAGGAGAGTTATTAATGGAAGTAAAATTTTATTTCAACCACTCCGTTTTGAAAAGCTTGTGAGTGCCAACACGGAACATATTTCTACAAACTCCTTCCAGACACATCTACTTAATTAGTATTGCTGCACATTACGCTGTTGAGAGATGTTTAGACCACAATAAAAAAAAGAAACAAAAATTTAAGCTAGAAGTAGAAAAAATTCCACCCAAAATCCTACAAACTGGCAGCAGCATGTGATTTGTTATCTTTCATATCACAGTGAGTGTATTTCTATCTTATCGATAAGGATGGGGAGATATGTGATGTATATTTAGTATGCATCACTGTCCCCACTTCCTTATGCATGGCTGGGTTGAAGTGTTTTGCTCTATCATCAAATGTGGACAGACTGGCATCGCAGCATTCTGCAGTCCTCTGCTGTTTCACTGCTGTGACACTCTCCAACAAAAACAAAATCCAACAGTTCTGTGAATGCATGGGAAAATGCACACAGAGAGACAATTTTACATCCAGAAGCTAGAGATATTTAGATGACCTTATAAGAAGTGAAGCGCTTCCTTCAGCAACTGTTTCATATCAGTGTTGTATTAAATTCTCAATTATGACTTTTTGATTTTGTAGGTTTGTTTATTAGGATAATTCCTGAAAAGAGCTCTGCAATCAAAATTTGGACTTTATTAGTTTACCAAAGGAATTTTAATAAGTGAACTGGTCAAGATAACCTCAGATTCTTTAGATATACAAAGGGAGCACTGTAGAGTGACATTTATGCAGTGTGGTTGTTGTTCTCAGCTGGTGCTTTGAGAAAAAAAAAAAGTATGTAAGGAAAAAAAAAAAAACATTAAAAAGAAACAAAACAAGTCAGAAAATAATAATCCCCGGGCATGCATTTACTTTAATTTTTTATAATTATTTTATAGTTTCATCTTAACGATTTAGCACAAGTACAAACATTTGTTACAAAGCAAACATATATGCCAAGAACGGCACCACTATAGCTCAGCTGGTTAGGCAGGTTAAGCAGGAAAGGCTGCAGTGGCCTTTGTGTAATTAGTACCAACTTGCAGTGACTTTTTCAACTTTGTCAGTTTCTTTCTAGGGAAATTAATGAGAACTACAAGATCTGTAAAAATGAATTGTTATCCACACCACTCATGCAAATGTTAATGTAGTTCTTACTTTTTTTAGGGGTCTGTTGCTGCCAGTAAAAATTTGCAATCCCCTCCAGTCCACCCGCACATCTGGATCAAATAAATCCAATATGATATGGGATTTTATTTTATTATTATTTTTTCCCCCAATTTCCTCACTGTGGTTTTAATTGACTCTGATGGCCCGGGGCCCAGGGTCATTTTAATCCCATCTGGAATCACATCTGGCATTTCATGCAATTACCAATTTGTACACTCTACATCTGGATTATAAAGCCCAAATAACCAAACGGTGGACTGGAGGAGCATCACTCTTTGGATTATATGCTTTCTGAGCCCTTTTGGAGTCATTACTGCTCTAAGTAACAGCAATAAAATAAAGAGAGAGAACATACGAGCACAGTTTAATATGCATGAGTGTGATCAAGAGCTGATATGATCTGGATTGGGTTTACACACTTGCATGCTTGTAATATAGTAGTTTATATGTATAATATAATAAATATTGAGCAAGCTGTTCGATTGGACGAGTGTCATGCCATAATTATGCAGTACCTGTCTCACTGAAGTGTGTCCAATCTGCTTATTTTACATTCAAACAGCCAGATTTCAAACACCTGTGTGGTTTCTGTTTGATGCCACAAGAAAAGTTTATACAGCACTTGCATCAGCAGCAGCAGCTGCAGGCCAAGCAGTGTGAATTTTTATTACTTTTTATTTATTTGGTTGTGATGAAACAGTTGCAGAGAAGTAAAATCAGTTATAAAGTATGTGTTTTAGTTGGTTTGCATCATCACACAGTACGAAAGTTCTTGTTTGAACCAGCTGTTTCCAATTCGATTTTTCTATTTTTATTCTTTTTTTAAAAACTGAAAAAAGAAAATTGTTGGAAAATGTGTTTTCATTTGGTGAATACAAATTTAAATATGAGCACTTTGATGCAGCCCGGGATGTGAATCTTGAGACTGATATTTAGTAGATTTGAAACAGGATTTAATCACATATGATTTCACATTAAGTTGATGAAATAAAAATCTTACCTCTGCTCTACTGCACTCTTGAGACGTTCATTCTCACTCTGTAGGAGAGCAGCCTCCGGACCGACGTGAGAGATTTTCTCATCATCTGTCCCATTAATGCTGGATGCCTGGTTGGTTGAGGGTGTATCACGACCAGATTCCGACTGAGAAATTGAGGGAAACTTTTGTTTCAAAGCAGGTTTTAAGGAGGCCTGTGGTTAACATGCAGCCACCTAAAAGGGTCTCATGGGTTAAAAGACAGAACTCTATCTCAGAAATCCTGCTCTCTGAAAAAGGGCCCTAGGCTTCTTTTGGCAAAACGCCCTGAAGACGTCAGCTATGACAGCCAAGGATTGAGGGTAAATGCTTGCCAGTATCTATCATGTCATATGGGCCAGAAGCTTTGTGTGCTTCAGGGCTGATCCTTAGCACCTGGAGCCAGAGCGAGTAGAAAGCAGGCATGTTAGTTGTGGGTGACTGTGGCATGAACCACTAACTATCATTATCATTTATGTAGATCTGAGCAAATTTACTGTCACTGTTTATAGCTTCCTTATCCTCTAAGTTACTGTTGTGCCTGCAAGGTAGTAAGGACGATCTTTGACCTCTTATTCATGACGGCTCACACTACTCCACGATTCCGTTGTAATATTTAAACACGAGATCCATTAATATTTGAACATATTTACATACATAATTATGCCACAGAAGCCATTTCTAAACACAGAAAGTGTATCATTTGGTGCTTGTGAAATCATTTCTCATTTTCTCTGTGGCCCTGTAAGCTTTCTGGAAGCCAACACACTGACTGTAGATGAAACGGGTGGAAAGCCAAGGAGATGAAATGAATCAGACTTTCATACGGCACAGAGATATTATTTACCTGGGAGTGATTACTCAATGTCTCCACCTTCTCTTGAGATTTGTCCCTTGCTAGCTTAGCCTGTTCTTTTACCTCCTGGAACTTCTCAGCAAACTGAAAGTACAAGAAGACATGTCAGGAAGCTGTGGTTATTAGTGGCAAGGCGAGGTTCATTTTTAAACATTATCTAAGGATGGTGAGGATCCGCGATACCCTTAAATATATATCTGATCGTTCCAGTTCTCTATCAATTTTAACTGATAACAAAGCTGCACTTTTCCACACTTTGATTTTACCACAGATTCTACTACTATTACTACTACTATTAATAATAATAATAATAATAATGATGATAATAATACATCAACAACTACAATAACATTAATAATAAAGAAAAGCTAACCATTTAAAAAAACAAAAAAACAAAACAAAACACAGACTCAGTTTAAGCCCTTCAACCTCCAAAGCATGATCCCCTCTTGAAAACAGTTAAGAGCCCCTGATCATAATGTCAGAGAGGCTGACTGTTAGAATAAGGGCTCAGCAGGTTAACTATACAACATTTTAAATTGATTCTGTGATTCTGGATTTTACTTTAAACCAGCAAAGAGAATCAACGAAAGGGGAAATGAGCCATCCATCAGCTTTATGAAGGATCTGCTACAAAAACCTCTCACTTTTGTGAGCTGCTGCTCTGAAGCGAAGCCCAATCCAAACACGGTGTTGGCCCTGCTGTCGGCCCACTGGCCAAACTTCTGTGATGTCTTGGTGAACGTCATGTTGGGTGTGATTGTGCTGTTGATGATGACCTGTTGGGAAATAACACAGATTTTCTAAGCCTATAAGAGACCATACTTTATCAATACAGAGTACAGTTAGAGTCATGTGTAATCCTCCCAGCATAGTTCTCAGGTCTTTCTGACACTCCTCATAAAAATAACTGATGTTGGATTTCAGCAGTACAGAGGTTGGAAAATTATGCGTCTCATTCAGCCAAGACATATTACAGAAGCTGTTCCAGCAGCTGCATTCACATAATAAATAGGCCCACCAATTTAATAAAGGACAATCCTCTATTGTAGCTCCATTCACACCAGACTACACCTGTAATATGCTGATGGCTGTATGCCAGTGCCCACTCACGGCATATTTATTATTTCTTTTAAAATGATCCAATCATATAAAAAGCAGATTTATAAGCATGTCTCTGAAATATATAGCAGTTATGTGTTCACAGAAAAAAAAACACTTTCTTAAAGAGTACTAATCTTTGATTATTGTTAAACCAGAGGGCACACAAGGTTTCCACATTTATAATTTAGGATGCTGAATAGCAAACACTTTGTCAACCCAGAGTTTTAAAGTTTCGACATTGTCGCGTGAATCAAACGTACCATTTTTAATACACTCCAATAACCTGTGTGGGACATTCATGTGTTCCCTTAATGTTTAAAGGGTCACAACAGAAGATGGATTTGCACCTTTGATTCGGCAAAGATTTCACACAGGATGACCTTCCTGATGCAACACTACCATTTATCCAGGATTAATTATCCTAAAGCTTATTAACATCAGGTTTGGTTAAGGATTTATCATACACCAGCAATCAGGTTGAGCTATTTGCAAAAGTCTTTATTGCATATTCAGCTCCACGCAAAAGACCTCCACTACTTTGTGATACTGATTTAAATAAAATAGTCGCAGACCGCTGCCTCTCTCAACTCACTCGTTTCATTCCCCAATTACAAATAAAGTTTTGTTCACTAAATAATTTACATGCAAATGTAAAAAGCACACACAAATGGAAAAACACTGACTGCTGACCCGCTAACCTCTAAGCAGTTGAAGTACAGTCTCTATATTTGCCATGGTATCCATTCACCTGTTGTAGCCATGCCGCAACTCAGATGCCAGAAAACATCTGCTGCAGTCTAAAATTGTAACGGGTGCATGTGTCAGTGAAGAAAGCAACACGTGTCTAAACACCATGTCAGCCTGACTTCACCGATTTGTATATCGCATCACAGTTCATATAGACAACTCTGATCCTCTGTGATGCTAGGTGTGCATGTAAACACAAGCAGCTTTGATTTATTGCTGCATGCACACAAACCCAGTCTCACTACAGAGATATAACAGAACTTAAAACCAGCACACGCAAATTATCCCAACGATTAAGAAACAATAGAAGACAGTCTAATGGCAGAGCAGCCCTTGTTTCATAGCAACATGGCTCTGAATACAGGATCTGAGGATTTAAACTGCTGACAGACTCGTGTCCCATTCTACGCCCCCACTGTCTCCCTCTCCATCTTTTTAGTGGCTGAGGTGTTAAAACTATTTATACCACATCATTACTGGACACAGCGAGCCAAAAAGCAGAGGAGCCTGAGCGAGCGGAATAAGGATCATTAGTACGCAATTAATGTTTGTCCTCTATTTAGATCAATGCTAATGGCGCCTAGGGAGAAAGATCACAACAGGTGAACAAAAAAAAAAAAAAAAAAAAAAAAAGGACGACCATCAGGCAACACAGCTAAAGATTACAACTGCAATCTTTGATGCAGGCATCATTCCCACATCAAGGGTTTATAAGGAGACTGGCAATTTACCAAGGCACTGCTAATCTGATCTTAAAAATCATCACTCTTTCAGAGGCTTCTTCAAAACAAAGGTGACCCAATTTCCCCTGGAGTGGAACCTGGGTAAAGCCTGAACAACACTCCTACGTCTCATCTCTAGCAGTGAAGTGAATATTTAACAGGGCTCATAACTCTGGCTCAAAGAGAAGTGTTAAGATAAGATGAAACTTTAATGATCATTGTGGAAAAAGTGGAGTGCTGCTGCGGAATAAAGCGAAAAAAGGAAGGAGTTAGGTAAACACGCAGTAAATGTCTGCAACCAGCGACGTATAAAATGTGAATTTCCTTTGTAATAACAATCCTCTCTTTTTTTATCTCGTGTGTGATGAATGCTTTCAGATAATTCTCAAAATAATTAGGAGAAATTCTGTTCGTTTTGGGTTTTTTTTTAAGAGGTAGAAAAAATTTTTTCACTAAATTTAATTTTATTAAACAAAAACGTAATGCAAGATAACTCTTGCTATAAGATTTGAAACACAGCATGATGACGTTTATACCACTGAAGCTACACACTACAGGTACAAAGACCTGAACGCAGTCAGTGCTTCTCAAACATTTTACTCCCCGCTAAGTTTTCTTAAAAAATTCATTACCATAAAATTATTTCATAATTAAACGTACAATCGGCATGTGGACTCTTAAATTGCGAGTAATCGGCAGTTCTCTGGGTGAAAATGTAGACTGCTTTGAGGTGAAGACAATATCAATAACCACTTGTTATAATCAAGGTAAGCAAAAAAACATCTGTGAAAGTACAACAAATCGACCCTTGAAGCAGATGGGCTACAGACTACACCGGATACCACTACTGTCAGCCAAGAACAGGAAACTGAGGCTATAATTTGCTTGGCCTCAGCAAAGTTGGACAATAGATCGATAAATGTCACCTAATCTGATGAGTCTTGACTTCCGCTTCAACGTTCAGATGGTAGGGTGAGAATTTGGTGTAAACATGAAAGCCATCCAGCCTTGGTTCAGGTTGCTGGTGGTTGTGTAATTGTGTGGTGACATATCAACAGATCTTAAACCCACAGAACTTTTGGGATGTCCTGGAACAGGAGATTATCATCACCTGCAGCCTAGGAATCTGCAGCAATTGCATGATGAGGCATTTCTGAAGGCAAGAGGGATTTATTTCTCCCCGGTTTTTTCTTTGGTTTTTTTTAAAAACCAAACAATAAAGCAATGTCAAACTATTCCATTATTTTCTGCCATCTTGAATACATCTCATTGCTGTTTTATACTATATATTAATAAAGAAAAACACTGAGACTAATTAAACTACATACCTGTAACTTGATACCTACTGAACTAAAAGTATCTGCAGAGAAAAGCTCAGACATTGCATTTACAGTATCATCTGTAATGTAACATGGGATACAAAGTTACCCCCACGAGACCTGTGACTGTATGTTTGGCACGCATATGTAAACGACCCAGTGAGCAAGCCAATGAGAGAGTGGGAGGGTGTGACGGAGGAAAGGGAGGGGGTGCAGAGTGACGCTGGCAGCTGTGTGGATGGTGAGCCGGGCTGTGGATCAAGTGGCACAGGAGGCACAGAGTGAAGCTCGGCAAGCTAATGGCCTGAGGGTCAGCTGGAAACTCAGAGACAGCCAGGAGGTTATAAGGGAAAGCTTCCTCGGCCGATTAGGTGTCTGCAGAGTGCACAGAATCTGCAGAGTCAGTGATTAGGAAAGGAGATGTAGAACATGAGAGATCAGTTATCAAGCACTAAATACCAGATGACTTTTTCATGGTTGGAAAGGAAGAAAAAAAAACAAAAAAAAAAACACACCAGCTGAAGTTATCTACTGATAATTAGGACGAACAGGAAGGAATCTTTTTTTCTTAAAAGGACATACAAAAAAATAAAAATCTGAATTATGGTGACAAATGCGCAGTGAGGATAGTCATTATGATGCTGTGGTATATCTGAAACACAGCCAATGATAGGTGAGACAAAGTCTGCCATGTCCTGTCATTAAACCAGAAAGCAAAGTGGAAAAATTGCAATTGCTCATCAGGTAGAGGTGTGATGCAGATGAAAAAATGTTCAGTATTTCTGTATGTCTGCCAACTGCTTTAATGTCCTGATGCATTTCATCTCACCATATATTAAGAACTGCAAAAAAACAAAACACTGTTCCTCGGAGGTGATGACGCAAGTTTGGTTACCTAACACCACTTTTAACTCAACTTAGCAGAATGTTTTTTGGTTTTTTTTACAGTTTTTGTGTGAATTATATTTGTTTTGTACATCTGCTGATGTTTATGACGCATTTTAGCAGAAAGTTGAATTAATAAGTCTGCTAGTTCAACATCCCGAATGTAGCTTTTGATCTCTGAGAAAGCCAAGACCTTCACAAGGTCTTTGCAGACCTATAAATCCAGGTGTTGCCTGAATAGAGGGTGTATTTGTACCTTGAGTCACAATAAATACAACACTTCTGTGTATTTATCCTTCAAGTCTTGACAGTTGTCTGATGAAGTGCAGCTTTTTCACTGGCAAAAGTTCAAATGCGTGCTCTTAGATTTATTTATTTTTTAATGTTTCCTGTCCTCGTTTGTTTCCCCTGTTGAAAGAGTCACTGATCTGCAGCTTTGTTTACAATACAGAATTTGCTGATGCTGGGACTTCACACTATAAAAGGTTGGTGTAACTGTGTCATAATCCTTATGGATAATTGTGCTGGGACTGATAACAGCCCAGTGCATTCTCTCTGATGACAGCTGGGCATACAGCACAATATCCAATCGACTAGCTTGACGTACCAGACACTGAAAGGTGGAGTGTGCATATCCCCTAGATCCCCAGGTTTATCGGGGAGGGTGTTAGTTTTTTGTTTTCTTGTTCTTAGATGGAAACAAACATTTATGGCTCACAACTTCAAAAAAAAAGGAAAATTTAAAAAACAAAACAAAACAAAACTTAGTGTACTCTTTATGAGCAGATTGATGATAACAGGAAAACTTGACTTTTTGATAGTTTGATACAAACTATGCTGTTTAGGCAAGACCAAAACAACTTTAAAAAGAATGAATAAACCTGATCATCTTGTTTATGTTCCAGCACAATTAACCCTTATTTTTCCACTTTCACAAACAACATGTCACTGGTAGCACTGCACCAAGAATACTTAGCACTTAATAAAATAATTATTTCAGAA